ACACGAGAAGTTGAAGTCCATTACTGAAACGGGTCACTTCGAGATGATGTCAATCGGCTTTTCGAGATTTTAAAGAGACTTATCTCTGCCAAGTGGGCCAAGAAGTGAGGAGGGAACTGTCTAACCCTCCACCACTTCAACACTATGAGCCACCTCTACAACAATAAGATTTAATGCCACCTCGATGCAACCCTGCTCCTCTGTCAGTGTCGAATCATTCGACACCGTTACAGGGCCACCAGGTCCCTCCTCAACAACATATGGCCCATCTTCCACAGGACTCGGTTTCATCCATGATGGACCTGAGAGAGATTGACACGGGGGACCCTGATGTATTGTCAAGAATGAACTGGTTAGCAACGTATAATACCATCGTGGATTATTTCCACGAGAAAAATTATATTTAAATCTCCTAATAAAGAGTCATTTACAAGATAATAAAAGTTTTAAATATTATTCTCCCCTAACAAATTCCTTAGTACATAGCGTTTTAAATCGATTGTCTTCACTACAATACACAAACTTAAGAAAGAAATTTGTATTCAAGAGATTCGGGTAGTCCAAGACTTCTCGAATGTGTTTTCTGATAAACCTCCCAGACCACCAGTGGATAGGAAAGTTGAGTTCATCATAGATCTTCAGTCTGGCATGTAGCCTATCTCAATTATTTCTTATCGAATGAGTCATGTAGAAATAGAAGAGTTGAGTAAATAGATCAAGAAATTGCAGGACAGTGGGTTTATCCGACACCGTGTTGCTCCTTGGAATACTAGAGTCCTATTTGCAAGTAAGGAGAATGAGACTTAATGTTACGTATTGACTACAGATGATTGAACAGGATCATGATAAAAAATAAGTACCCCCTCTCCATGATTGTGACTTTTTTGATCAGTTACATAGTGCTCAGGTCTTCTTCAAAATAGACTTCTATTCAGGTTACCATAAGGTAAAGATCAAGATAGAAGAGATTCCCAAAAAAACTTTTCAAACTAGGTACGGACACTATGAGTTCCTGATCATACTATTTGGACTAACCAACACACCAGCCATATTTATGAATTTGATGAACATGATTTTCAGATAATTCATTGATCTATTTGCCATCGTATTTATGGATGATATCTTGATCTATTCAAAAAGTAGAGAGGAACACACTTACCATTTAACTCAAGTTTTGCAGGTTCTCAAAGAAAAGAAGTTGTATGCAAAGTTGAGTAAGTGTGGGTTCTGTTTCGATCAGACTACCTTTCTAGGGTGTGATA